GAGATAGAGAGAGGACATGGCTACTTGTGGATTTGTGTTTTCTTTTCTTGTAGTTGTGTATGGGCAGACCGGCAGAGCCTGTGGTTTTAGTTGGTGTCCCTTCGCCGGTTTAAAGGGGGATGTTTGGGCGAAAAGATCATCCCAATGGGGAGGCTTTGTTTCTGTGCCTGGCCATATTTGACATGCTTGCTTGCCGGCGCATTTCCAACCCTGACCCATAAACCGGACACAACATGTGTCCACGGATATAGATACGAAAACCGGTCATTCAATGTTATGCTATCCCTATACATTTCAAGTAGTGTTTCAACCAACTGAGCGAAAATCATGGAAACAAGTTGATATTCATACAAAACGGAGCACATTCACTGCATTTTAGATAGTTTTCATTAACAAAAGGGGACCGGACCTAAACCTAGACTACGGCGGCGTCCGTCGTCTAAGTCCTTGTTGTTCCCTTCCGACGACCGCGTCCTCCATCCGCCGTCTTCGTGAGCGGCGGCGATAAAACCTGTGAAGTGAAGGTGCGGTCACCGGCGAGGAACACTAGAACATACATAAGTAGAAGAGGTAGAAGATATGTAATGTTGGGTTCTACGTTAGGGTGCGTCGACTGCAAATTAAAATTCCTACCCGCAAAACATCCAGGAACATGCTACGGGAGATGGATCACGGATCGTTACCACTACTTACGCAGTGCCGTGCAACGGAAAAAGAGTTGGGGCAGTGCATCCGCGGGATTTGTCTCCTCCTTGTCCGATCTCCCTCGAACAATTGATCGTTGGATCCCACGACCAGGTTCACCAGAGCAACGCAAGTGCACCGTCACTAACGGTATCGGCGCGTGGAGGAGGAACACCAAGCAGTGCTAGGTCCGATCACATAGTCGGGGACGAGTGGAGGTAGCTAGTTGCAACACATGCAAAGTCCTAGTGACGACGCCGAAGTGATTAACTAAAAACGTATCCTGCACCTCCACTATATATACACATCCGTCACGGGCTCAACACTTGGGCCTCACTCGGATCCTAAAGCCCAAAGTCTACTCGGTCAAGATCCAAGTCCAGCTCGGATCACATCCGACCATTGTCATCGGATACGACCTCGTAGGTTCCTTCCCTTAAGCGCGTGACCCTTTAGGTTCAAGTCGGCTTGGTCATAGGTTGGATCACCTCCGACCTGCTCAGTTGGTAGCGACCACTAGCAAGGCGTGCCGACCACCAAGCAGACTATGAAGTTGGTTGGCGAACCTATACGTCATACTTCCATTCCCTTTGCCACACGATATATGTTGTCGGGCTCAAGGCGATATGCTCATCCCTGTTACAACCCGACTTCTTTCTCGTTTCAGTGATGCCGACCACAAACTGGATTATCCCATAATCCTTGTTGCATGACTATCTTATCTTGGTCAGATCACATGAGGGGACCAGACTATATATCTCCTGATTGGATGGGAAAATCCCATCTTGCTCGACCATGTCTCGCAGCACGGGTCTGGACAAGTCCGAAACCTACCTTTATATCTACCCAGTTACGGAGTAGCGTTTGGTCGGCCCAAAGTAGGTCTGTCACCATCCCGAGTACATGCGCCAGCTGAGGTCTTGCATAAAACATATGTTGTACTAGAGACTCACAAATGGCATATCGATGGGTCTCATAGTCAGCTCTATCTAACTTGGACCTTATCTCGACTCGGATCCGAGTATGTCGGATCCGACCAGATCCTTCCAAGTCCATATTATCTGTCGACGTCCTGGGAACATGGGTACCCAGACTTGTCTACCTGCGGCCCACGGCGTGGCTCCGTCGACGGCCCGGTACGGCCCAGCTTCAGCATCAAGAACCCAAGACCCTCATGAGGGGCCAAGCCTCGTGAGGT